AGTCACATGACATTAATTAAAATGAAATTGAATTGAAATGAACACATGGTATTCATTTGATAGTAAGGTGATTTAATACAGTGATAGTGATAACACTGTTCAATTGTGATAGCGATAACTATTAATACTTTCACCCAGCACTACAGTGGAACCTCTGTATAACGGGACACTTACAAGAAAGTTTAGTACACTTGTAGGTGTCCACTATAGAGAGTGCTCATTAAAAGGAACTCTACTGTAGATCAATAATAAAACACAAACGCTTACCGCTGCTTGCCTCACGTGAATTAAGCCTAAAGCCTGGTTTACAGTCACCACAAAATGCAACATGAGTGAGTACAAAATTTAATTTTGGCCAATTTCATGTCAACTTAAAGCGTTTTTGAATCAAGAGGTCAGATTGTGAAAAATGTTCTATTATTACAAGATCCAAATAACCGCAAATATTGCTAGCAAACATTTGCCTAGTGTACATTACAGGGCTTAAAGGGACACGTTCAGGGAAATACATGTAACAGAAATACAGTAGATGCACATGTCACTGTAGAGGAAGTAAACAACTAAACATTAACAACAAATTATTAATTAATAGTTATAACACTGTGTAGTGAGTAGAGACAGAGGAATAAGGTGTAGCACCAGGAGTAGGCACCTGTAGAACACTTCTCTCGACCAGTATTAGCTCCTTTCCACCCAAAGACACTCTTTTCAGTGAAGAAACACCAATAATATTACAAGTAACCACTAGAGTAGCCACTTTGCCTTAATTTTTAAGGACACGGCCACACGTTACAAATAGTTATCAATACTACATGTACATGTATACACTCTCCCTATAATACAACATAATCTTGTACATTTAATGTACATGTACATGTATGACTTACAGGAGACGCCATGATATTCTGTAGTAGGCACGATAGTTGGTCCGTTCCCATGGTAACTATGTCTTTATCAAACAAGGTGTGAACAGGTGACGGGTACGATGTCACGTGACTTTCACTTGACGATCTACAAAAAATAAAAATAAATGACAAAATGAAGGCACATGTGCTGTACCTCTTTAATGTGTCCAATCGTGAGACAAGACTCTTCTTTAACTGCATAAAGTTAGCACTACACGAATAAAAATAAAACCATTACAATGTAGTCAATCTAGCATTAGCTTCACTGATGAATACAAAACTGGCTACTAATGCACAGGTACTTTACCAAAATATTTACTGTTATGTGGAAAGTTTTTCAGTTACACTTTCTTAAAAGACCCTGCACTAGAGCACATGCTTCTTTC